TTAGTACTAAAGAAACGGACACATAGTTTGAGCAGACTTTATCAAGAATAGTGAACTATAGAATTTTGACTATCATGTTTCAGGAATTTTATGTCTTCTAAATACTGCATACAATAAGTAATACTAACTAAAGGATATTTGCCAGCATATGGTGTGGAATAAAACTTGTATTTGAACGTGATATGGTGCTGTTTCACAGTTTGATAAGTTGAAAGATCTGACTGTAGACTGTTTAAATTAAGTAACAGTTGTAACACGGTGTATAGGGAATGTCAAACAATACTGAATTGAAGATGATGGTTGGTAGGAAAAGCATATTTGATTGTAAGAAAATCGGGAGGAACGTTAAACTAACAAATAAGATAACTGGAGGATATGTGGCGATTAGCACTCATCAGTCAATACTAACACCATCCTTTTATTCAACAACAATCTACGTATACGTATCGACTAACTGGACACTGGCGCGATTAAAAAACAGCTAATTGTTTGAATATGCCAACTCCATTGATATTCACCTTAGAAACAAACAACTGTGACGATTAGTTTATGGTATCTGTAGTTAAACAAACCGGTTTTAAACTTACAGGTGGCAAAAATAAAACCTATCGCCACATATGGTAAACCTTACGTCTCTCCTAACGTAGATTTACACAAACCCATCCACTGGATTTTCGTTATTTCAGATGTTCCTATGCCAATCATTGGTATAGACCTGTAACAATATCCCAATTTACTCATCAAAACGCGCAAACGGTGGTTAGTAAGCGGAAGCACCAATTTATCAGTGTGTGTAATTTCTTGTTCTGGTTTAAGATTATCTTCAGTTACAGTAAGGCACACGATAGATCCATACTATTGACAAATATTCGATACGCACCCCGAGATATACCAAACGCAACCGAAATTGTCGTGTGTAACCAGCAATGTTACACCTACATCACGACTACAGGACCATCTGTATTCTTGAAATCGTGCCGACTAGTTCTCGAAAAACTGAGGTTGGCTAAAAACAAATTCCATCACATGGTAGTTTTAGGAATCATTCGGCCAGCAAACAGCCCGCGGGCATCTTTTCTGCATGTGATCCCTAAAAAAACAGCAAATACAAGCGCCCAAATGATGACTATCTGCGATTGAATGTGAAAACCATTCCTGATCGTTACCCTTTGCCTCACATTCACGATTTGACAGCTAACTTGAAAGGTTCAACTGTTTTTTAGAAAATGAACTTCGTTAAAGCATATAACCAAATTCCAATGGCTGTTGACGACATTCCAAAGACCGCTATCATCACTGCTTTCGGTTTCTACTTGTTTTTGCGCGTTGTAAGATCCATTTTGAAGGTTTTGTGTGTGAAAATCCCTCCATGTGTACATTTGTTCCTATTGATTCCTTCAGTTGTACATTTTGTTAGTCTTTTTTTATTCCGTTTGAGTTGGTAATATTTGTATTTTATTATAGTTTTTATTTTTCTTATGCCTTCATTGAGTTTCCTGAACTGCATTTATGTTGTTTTAGTTTATACTTATTCATAGCGGCAGCAATATTGATTTGTTCCTCTTTTGATTGTGTTGTTTACATTGACTGGAATTATGCACTTTTGAGTGTAAATTGAAGCACTCTCCCAGAATTGGAAACACTCTGTGACATAAAGCAAATAAATCTTATCACGAACAAACCTGTGCATCATCTATCCAGAAACGATCGATTAACATTTATTTGTTGTGATTGGCAATTTTCTTACGTCAAGTTTCAAGACGATTCTCTCATAATCGTGAACCTTAAAGACAGCTCTGATTTTTCTCTCAGTCTGCAGGACTAAAGTGATAGGATGATATGAGGAAAAGTGCATAGGAACCCCAAACTTCGAAAACTTGAGCCACTAACGGTTACACGGTCCACTTTATGGAAGGGTTCCAATACCAAAATCACACAGAACTCCATCGTGTAAAATTCGCTAGCTCTGTCGACGTAGAAGATGATCTGCTGGCTGGTCACTTGCTGAAATCAAAATCTGGCGCAAGAGCACCGTCTGATATACAGTATTCTGAACGCAATCTCTTCCGCAACATCCCTAAGGAATCTCACAAGACGTTCTTCCGTGGAATAATTGTCATTCTATAATATGTTCCAGAAAACCCGGACTCTGGATACGCAAACTGATATTCTGCAGGAGATATTCATAAAGCAGTCCTTGAAGCTCAAGTACATACTGAATCAACAAATGGTTCAACTAACCAAGAAGGACGGGATTCTTAACCTCGACTGATGAAGATAACCTCATCCCTCCATATAGCGTCTGCCACCCTAGAAGCATTTCGTGACAACAAATGTTGGTTGCCAACTGGACCCCACATGCATCCATATAGGTAAAATGATGCAAGGAATAAGCACGAAAGCAAATTGGGACTGACTATTCCACTTATGGAATGTCAAGGACAGGTAATAAAGGTAGAAGAGGCAAAGATTAGACACCCTCAAAGCTCTGTGTACGTAAGTTATTTGTCCATTCACATAAGGCTCATCTAGATATACAGGATGGGGACCTCATGCGCTTCTAATCGAAAGCATGAACTGATCATTTACGAACACTGTGAGTTTATCGAGCAAAATTGATGAGTTGCATGAACTGAATATTTCTAACAATGATGGCAATATCTGAAATGTGAACAATTGAGAATAAGGAATAGTAGCTAACAGTGTCCAGCATATTTTCGTTTCGTTAAAACGGAAAATCAGGAAGGAGGTGGGGAAGACTGTACTTACGATCTTCCTTAATAGCACATAAAGTGTACACTTGATGGTTTATCAGTGCTGATGAATCAATATGGAGCTCAGTACAACTGCCTAACATCTCGAGGTGTGCAGTCGGGGTCATCTGAAGGAAGCCTACCACTGCCTATTTACAAACGAAGAATTCCTAATTAGCAACCTCTCAATCCTGGCTCTTTTGGGTAAAAGTGATCATGCCGTCATAGCCTTCAATCTTGGCAGCGAAACTGATGTAAGACATCCTACCGACAACAGGCGCTGGGATTTCAAACGGTTGAACGTGTCAGCTTTACAGGACAATCTACAATACGTGGACTGGGAAGTTCGCGAGCAACTTGGGATTTTTTACTAAACATGTTATTATGTGCTACAAAGCAGTCTGTTCTTCAAACGATCCTCAAAAGCTACAAGCAACCTACATTAATCAAGAACCGAACTCTTCGTTTATTAAACCGTAAAGGGCACTGCTGGGCGGAATACAAACGAAGTGGTAACAACAGAGCATACAGGCAACCTAAACGAGCAAGGATACAATCACAAAGGCGATAAGGTATTTTTTAGAAATTCAACTATTAATGTGTATAATTTGTTAGTTTTTGTTTACTAGAATTAATAGGAATTACTTTTATAGATAATGAATAGTGCAAACCAGTATCGCTCATGTAAATGATTGATTAGAATTATTATTTATGATACTGGACGGTTCTGTTGTGAGTCTTTCATTGTTTTTCAATGTGACATCAGTTGATACTTTGGAAAAAAAGAGAAGACAGGCTTCAGTATCCGAAAAAGAGCTTGTCGATAAATTTGTCTCCAATCAAAAAATCTCATCCCGTCATACGGCTTCTTTTTGACAAGCTAAAACCGGATTTTCCCAACTGCTAAGCTCCTAACGAATTAACCAACGACGACGGTAGCACTCCCAGTCTCTTGAAAGGACAGTACTTTAGACAATCAACCGGTCCATACTAACCATATTGGTGAGAGCCTCATCTGCAACTCAACTGGACTCTCGGAAGCGAACCTGAGCTCCGATTTGGTGTATCCTAAGCAAAGACACTTATCTTAGACCGGATATAGTCCATCCTGCTATTCATATGTAATCAGCTTCAATCTTGGCAACAACACTTAGAGTGATGTTCTCACATTCGCCAAGTTGAGGCACGTTACTAGTATATTAGAAGCTGGATGACTTTAGGCCAATTTTCAAACGACAACCATGCAGAGAACCTTCAAGCTACCGACGGTAGCAGTTCTCTCCATAAGATAAGAGACGGTATACAAGACTATTTGTTATCCATAAACTTCTTTTCACCCGAACATCATGGTTTAGGGAAAGATCACTCTTGTATGATAAACATGCTAACCACGGTAGGCAGATGGACAACCGTCCTTGATCATAAAGGGAAGATTGACTTCGTAAATCCTGACTTCGCAAGAACTCTTGATAGGGTCAATCATATGTGTCTTACCAATAAGCTCAAACCCTTAGGTACCAGTTCACCACCAATTTATTTGCTTACTGCATATTCAAATATTTGATATTTTAAGGTCAGGGTTAACTTCATTTTCAGGTTATGCAATGTCCTAGCGAAGTCTTTCCTAGGTCTTATGAAGTGCACCTCCCATCACTGAACGTTTACCCACCAATGTACAGACGTCTCAGAGGTGACCTCCTAATGATTTACAGCATTCTACAAACTTCGAAACATGCCCTTAAACACTTACTTAAGCTTAGTCCCAACACAAACCTAAAAGGTAACACCCGGAAGCTAGAGACACAACACAACGTAGCGGACCTTCGAAACATATTCTACTCCTTAAGCATGATCATATTTTGGCACTCACTACCGGATGAGCTAATCCCAGAAGTCCTTTAAGCGAAAACTCCACATATTCTTAAAGACTAAGGACAGTATCTCACTATGATTTGATAACTTTTTTTTCTTTTTCTATTAAATATACCCAGGTCCTTATCTGGGTGCGCCGGCGGTCTACTGCCACTAGATACAGAAACCCATTAAACAAAAGCTTTTTCTATTACGTCCAGAACCATTTGAAACCAGCCACCGAAGCTCGTCATGTAAATACTGCCTCGATCCCGTTCATAAATGCCATTATCATTCCATTAGCCCAAAACTCGATGTGTTGTCATGGTATCACTCAAAAATAATTCTTTAACAGATCTTGAGCTAGCGGCTATTTGTTTGAATACATCACTTGGAGTTTCGCAGTAGAAACCAATGTTGACTTAAATTGCTGGGATGAAAGAAATCTGGAGCATTACACTGTCCGTTTCTTATTTTCAATTTCAGACTGTCTTAACTTCACGCTTGTGTTACTTATAATTGTTTTTGGTTGCTTTAGTTATTAAATGTAAGTTCATTCTATGTTCTTACGCAATCGTCGGCTCACTTTTTCTCTTACAGATAATCACACTTACTGACCTTAACAATTCCCCAGCACACAAGGTAACTTCAAGCTAGACACAAACCTGCCAAAGGCTAAACGTTGCAGAGAATGGATTGTAAGACAAGTCGATACGATCGATCTTATTTACTGTAGTTGGTTCTGATGTAGAGTCCATAACACTTGTTGAGTGTGCTACTTGTGGCCGACATTTTCAGGAAGACATAATTGTAAGCGTGGTTTAATTGGCAGTTTCACGATTATAGCATTTTTTGTTTAAATCTCTAAACCAAATTATAACATTTGCGGAAGTTTGTGATTGTGCACAATCTCAATCATTTAAATGGTTGGGATTATATACGCACTTTAAGTGATCCAGTTTGATTGCTTAAGGTGATAGTAATGAAAGGTGAACGACGAAATGCGTATCTTTACTAGATTTGTATATGTTCTTGTAACTTATCACGTCAGCCTTTGGTACCAAAAGTAAGAATACAATTATCTTATAAAATGGACGAAGCTTGAAAGTAATTCGCTCATTAATTGCTTAAATCATAAAAATAATTTCGAAAACTCATTAAAATGTTCCGTCTAACCAACAAAATATACAACAGGATTATGTTGAGGCTATAGTTGAGTTTTAAGTTCCCCTATTACTGACTGGACAGCTCGTTTATTTTAACTAGCTTAACGTAGGTGAGATTCTGATGAACACAATATCCAACGATCTTTCCTGTTCAGATACCCATTTATCAAGTGAAGATTCATGTAATCTTCTGAGGGTTAATGGTACTATTGAGTTGACCAAAATAAAGTAGGTGAAGCGAGTTACAAATGTAACGATTACTTGTTGGAGCCTAAAACTTTATGTGATAAGGAATATCTTCGTTATTTTAATCATTAAAGCCTATAACTCCCATTTGCTTGTAGGTTTCACCAGTTATACCATCCATTTTAAACCCAGAAAACATAATACATTTTCTTGGTTGGGTAGTATTCAAACCCTACCGTGTTGGCTTTACAATTGCTGGGTTAAAAAATCACTCAGATGTGAGAAACATCGCGAGATATATCCCTGTAAAGTTGTGAATTTGAGAGTTTTGGATATATTTTCACGGTAATAATAATCAACCTTAAATAATAGCAATTAAACAGCCACACGTGTCAAGATATAATGCCTTCTACTTTCTAGTCTTTATAACATATTTTTCTATTATGGGAAGTAAACATTTCTAGTTCCCTAAAAGTTGTTTTCACTATATCCTCCCTTTACGTTCATTTCCTAAAGACTAGCGAACCTGAGTTTATTTCCTGCTGGTTGACACAATTGTTTGGTGATATGTATTCATACAGATGGTTTTTCAGTTAAAAACATAAAAATCGAGTGGCTAATAAGACAAAGGTGTTAGATAAGAAAAGTTACAGCAAGAAATTTCTCAGATATTTGGAGTAACATATTTTTGTGTTTTAATGATAGCTTTAACACTATGCTTGTAAATATTTGGTAACCCTAATTTGCTGTGGGAGCTCAGTGTTTGCGACAAGGAATTTACTACGGATCCCACGAACTCTACAACTGTAAAATTATCAATGCATAATATCACCACGGAAATTTGACTTTAGTTATTATTTACAAACAGTTGTTATGGCTACATGTGTTTATTAAACTCAGACAGCAATTAAAATGAACTAGATGTTTTTGAGATCAACCTTCCTTCATAATATAAATGCATGAAAAGACTTATTTCAAAATGTCTGGTTTAAATGAATTGGTCCAGCATATTTAATTATTTGTAGTCCTATATTCCACTTTTAATGCTAAATACTCTTCGCTGAACCAGTTTTTTTAATTTTATGTCTCAATGGGTATATTCTGTTTGCATTGTATTACTGTCAATAGATTTTTTCGAAACTTTTCAAGGTAGGGGTATTGATGTGACTGTTAGCGTTTGCGGTAGATGTTCCCTATCCACTATTCCTGGGATCCTTCAAGTGAAAAAATCCAGCTGTGTATGTCCGAAATCTAGTGAAAGCGATAAACTCTTGTAACATTCTCGTAAGTCTCAATCAGTAACTACAATGAGTGGCAGTCTGTAAACACTTACAAGAGTGAAACTTTTCTTCTTAATAAAGAAGTTGACATTTTGTTTGAATGTTTTATTTCACTGAATCGGTACTGTAATTACAGTCAGTTGACATGTGGACGTTTACCGTATATGTTATTTTATTGATGATTTAAACGTTCCTGACCTTCACCATAATGTGATACTAATTAGAAAACTATTGGATATTTAAAAATATCGTATATGTGTGTTACCCTTCTTCAAATGTGCTCACCAGGATTTGCTGATTATCTTTTCCCAGGATTGTTTAAAAAAATTAGCCAAGCAATTTGTTCAGTACTATGTGCTTCGTTTATGTAGTATTGTAATATAAATGAATGACGTTTATTATAATGGAGTAAAGTTCAAATCCTACTACCACTCGATTCATATTGATATAATAATAAAGCAAATCCAACAAGCCTCACAAATTACAGCCATATTCTAAGTTGTAGACTATCGCTTTTTTAGACCATAATTATCATAAATAGCTAGAAAAGCTTTCCTAACAATTTGATGATCATTCATATTGCTGAACGATGTCAAAACGGACTATTATACTCTTAGTTTTTGATATTGAGTTTAATAAGTTATAATCTCGTGATATATTTTGAAACTTCCAGAATGTACTTAAATTTATCTTTGAATTTCAAAAAAACTTCGTGTAGTTAGTTTCCTATTGTAAGACTTAGTAGTGTTTTTACCGTAGCTATTTCAACTTCTGTTTGAGCAGTATAGTTTATCAAATTTAACAAAAACAGAAGAGTTGTCACTCATTCTTGTTTAAAACTAAAAATTTGGCTTTAATAATCACTGAGTTTATGTTTACAAAATTTCTTTGTGATACATTTCGTTTAATTGTTTCAACGTACATTTTTCATCACATCAATTATATTCCTTTTCTATTACACACAGAATCGACATAAAGTGGTATGCATTAAGAATTCTACAAAGAAGAGAAAACCTTTTGATAGCACTAAACAACGATTACAAGGTATAGAGGAAAAGAACCAAAACATATTAGGAGGAGCATCTGGGATTAAATCAGTTGAAACTGCACGAAAAATAGCTCAAGTTGAAGCACGCAAACATCAGTGGAGAAAAAAGCATGAAGAATTTATCAGTGCAATTAGGGCTGCAAAAGAGTATACAGTTGCAAAACAGACTGGTAAACCTTTGCCACCTCCTCCACCGCCAGCTATTGATCCAGGTTAGAAGTAGTAGTATTTCTATTTAGCGTATATATTTTGACTATTATCAAGCATTTCTAATACATGTGGATATAATATCTTGAGAACACTACTGAAGGTATTTTTTTAGTGAGGGTGATCAACAATGAAAGACAATTTTATTTTTCTATTTTCTGACGTAGTATCAGTGAGCAGCATCACTACTTCCAATATAAACATTTTTGTGGTTGGTTTGAAGCTCATATTTCTGTTTTTCTTGGTTTATGTACTCGATATATCGGGAATTAGATATCCAAGATTCTATATCGTATTGACATATAATCGGTTACGTCGATCTGCATGCATCACTATATACATCTAATTATTAAATGTTTTAAATTTTATCTATGTAATTTCCATTTTTACTAATTTTATATTTTATATTATTTTGTCAATCTTCTTTATTTCTAAGTCCGCTACTTTTGTCATATGACTATGTGGTATTTTGAAGTAGTATGCTTTCATTCTAGACCTCACAATGTTCCGTATGCCGATGCACTGTCATGACTTCTGTTATATCCTAGCGGCGGTTACATTATGGGTAAATTCTGTGAGCTATTAATGGACCAATATTATACATATATTCTCATAGTATAACTATTGAGTAACTAGATCATGCATATTTATATTCCTCTTATTATAAGTTTTAATTTGACCTAAAGACTATTATTATACGACTTACTATTCTTAGGTTATACCTAGTTCATTAATTACAGTCTCTCATAATCACAGCCACTTTTGGGCTTGATAATGTACAATTATTATTTTTTATTTATAGTATGATGTGGTCTGGTTTGCTTGTAATAAACTAATTATGTTTGAAATATATGATTCGTATAGTAATAGTTGACATTGGCCTTCTGGTTTCAACAGACAGCACTAGGCTGCTCATACCAGTTGTTGTGGTACAGTGTTAAGATTGTATAAGTCACGTTCTTATTGGTGAATCGGTCACGTGATATATTAACTGGTCATAAGTCACAATAACTTCTAAGACGTTTACAACAAATACAATCAGATTCAAAACCTTATTTTTTATCGTCAACACCGAACAGACAAAAATAGTGCCCAGAAACTAACTAAATACTATACTAACTTATAATACCTATAATTGCCCTGAAGTTTGTCTCAAGGTCTTATTGACTTATTTAGTGACTGATTAAACATTGTGGTTAGTTCATCCGGACTATTCACAAAGTTACTTATCAGTACATTGATTTAACAAGATACAAGACAGGTCAACAATTTAACATAATCATCCATCCATTGAAATTAAAGACAAACTGAGTTTATAACATACCCAAGATAAAACTACCTGAAAACCATTCATTTCCAGTTTAAAATCCTCCAGAAAATAGTGATTTTTCAGTTTTCTTTTGCATTTTTTATGTGCATGGACCTTAACGTTTAGTTAACCACAAATAAATACCTTAAACTTAATAAAAAAAGATATGTTATAAAGTCAATTGCTTTTGTATAATACATTCGAAAATATTGTTAATTAGGACAGTTAATTTTCTAACTAACTGACCATTTAGTGTATAAACTAAAAGTCATTAATTCTTTGATTATAGAAGTTTTAGACATACTTTTCAATCGAAAAAATAGATTAGTATCAGAGGGGGTTTTGTGGAGATTGCAGTAATTTTAATAATTGGGATCATGAGTCAATTGAAGCTAGACCACCATAGAAAACCTGAAAGCACTGGATAGCCGTTTCGTCCTATTGTGGGACTCCTTAGCAGTGTGCATCCACGACTCCGCCTCGCGGGGTTCGAACCCAGGACCTACCAGTCTCACTCGCGAGCGCCTAACCACTAGACCAATGAGCCGGCATCCAACAGTGTTAATGCCTAATTTCAACTAATCTGCGAAATTGAACAACACATCCAAGATTGTATCAATGACTTACTATCTCACAACAGACCTATTTGAACTCCACTGGTCGGTGCTTCTCACTAGAACTCCAGGATATACATCTTGAAGCCAGTCAGTAGTGAGCATATGTTGATTAGTATCAGAAGGGGTTTTGTGGAGATTGTAGTAATTTCAATAGTTGAGATCATGAGTCTCTAGTTTTAGTAAAAGCCTTAATACAATCAAAATTTTTGTATACTGTTCAAAAATACATGTTGTTAAGAAATAAAATCTTTATTAATAGTAATTTTAAGCAAAAAGTTAATATGTTTTTCATTGTTCTCTGGTTACATTGAGATTTTTATGAGAATAATATGTTATGACAAAAAAACAAATTTATAATTGTTTGAGTAGACAATCAATTCTACTTAGTGTTTTATATCATTTGTCAAATAACGCATTTTTAGTCTTCGTGTTCTTTTTCTTTCTAGTGTATTGTAATTCATAGTTATAATCACTGAAATTCAATCAGTATATATGTTTAACTATTATTTCCAAATAAACTCAATCAACTAAGTGATAAAAATTGGTGATTAACCAGATGGAATTAAAAGTTGACTTATAATAAAACTGAAATTGTCTATCTATTTTATGTTTAAATGAAATACAGTCTAAAATTATAAATTATTAATAACTTTTGAGGTCAGAATTTCTAATCATAGTTAGTCGTACAACCAATTTATACTTTCATGGCTTCCTGTTAACTATTTATGAACTTTGAAGATTGATTATGGGAAATGAGCTTTTTTAAAGGTAATCTCTTGAATTAACTTTTCGTATTTTTATTCTTTCTTAATCTTCTCCTTTACGGATTTGTGATTGGTTGTTTGCCAATTTCTTTTGTTTTCTTCAATCGATTTAAATGGATAAGGTCTATGTAAAAACAGTAAGTCAGTTGAATGTAAGTGGATCAGATCTCTTTCCCATACACTTTGGTAGTGTATAGTGATAATAATAGAAGTCAAACCCATAGTTATTTTTCCTTAATACATTGTTTGTATTTTGCAGTCATAGTAGCAATTGATGAATTGTTTTGTGTTATTTAGGGGATGAAACTATTGGTTTCTTATTTCTTTCTTTTATTGGTTTCTTGACAAAAGCAAGTAGCCGCTTTTTTATTAATCAGTAGTAAAAATTGATGTTGAATTTTATGTGAATTTTTTAAAAGTTTTTATTAGGTAGTTATACCGATTGTAACGATAATAATGAGGTATATTTATGTACAGTTGGGCCTAAATTTTATCGGATGATCGTCCATAATAATAGCATACTAAAACAGTTAGGTTAATATTACTCTATAGGTTGAATGGTTTCATTCAATATTTATATATTGTTATATTGAGTTTGACATTGATTATTATTTTGACCATTATTTATCATTTTCCATTTAATCCACATTTGCTTGACGTCCTGTCTTAACGTGTAATAAGTCCCTTATTTGTTTATAGATTGATGAAGAAGTAGTATGCTGAGTCCATAATCTTCAGGTTTTCCATCGAATACGATATCGTGGTGGTAGAGAAGATCCATAGCTCAAAAGAATTATTGTAGTTGAGTTCCATCTAAAATGGACGTTAATGACATTGCATATAAAAAATGAAACACGATTAAAATACCTAGTTTAGGGAACATGTTCCCATCAAGAAATGATATCCTAAAAGCGCTATTTTGGAATCCACAACTCCTTATTGACAATTTCAATCATTTCTCAATATAACGTGACTATCATCTTACACAAATGATAATAATAGTCTATTTTTCGAATAGGCTAACCACTATTCTAATTGACAGATACCTAGACATTTTTAACAGTTAGTGTGAAGAAATTAATCAAGATGAGGTAGCAAACAACGAAAGCTATTTCTGGGACAGTGTCTAGCTTAATCAGAAATCTGTATCATGCTAACGTTTAGTTTTGTATCTTCTTTATTTTATAAATCATGAACTTTTGTCTAATGTATAAGTCGCTGTCATGTTCTCTTCCACTCCAAAATTAACGTAGTTTAAACGTGACTCTTGTATTCTATTTTTCCTACTCTAATGTTTCAGTTTGAAGTTAACTACATTTTTCTCGTTCCTTGCGCTTTGTAGTCCTGTTAGTTATATATTTATTCATGTATCTATTTTGACTTAAATCAGGCATAAATCAGATATACAGTCCCAGCTAAATCATCTCTCTTGACTTACCAACCAATCAGATCATAGGTCAGTAGTAGAGTAATTTTCTCTTCTTTCTTCTCTAAAGGCCGTTATGTTGCAGACTGAACTCACGCGTTAAGTGCCAACGTTGTACTACGTAACCTATCAAATCAATCCCGCCATCGAGGTATCTCTCCCCGTGTATTTAGCAAATATTAGTGAGGTGATGAATCAAGATCGTATAGCAACTCAAGTGCAATTGAGTTTGTTCACATTTAACTCGATTGTCATTTTGTTAACTTATTAACGAACTGAGTTATCCGTACAACAACAAGTTATCTATATCATTGTATCTTTATTATTGTTGCGAACGTATGAACATGTATGATTGAGCATCGCTTACTGCCTACGCATTTATTCACGCCGCTAGCCTTACTATTAGCCGCTTAATTGATTCGATGATTCATTCATTTCACTATGCGTATATATGTCCATGTTATTCATGTTTATTGCTCTCTCTCTCTCTCGCTTATCTGTACTCGCTTGCTTAACGCACCTGTAATTTTGGATATCTGTGTGTGGTCCCATAATAAACGTAATCAACACTTTGTATTTGCCTTTTGGTTAATATACCGTTGAACTTATACGAAGCTTATTGATTATATTGAATACCGACCACCACAGTCGTAACAGTGATTTACTAATTTACTTACTTACAAACCGGCAAAAGCATTGAAGTCAGACATAGTGTGATATATTGCACTTATGTCAACAGATATAATATGTAAAACCAATCAGAAGTGGAATGCTTGGCATCAGAAAGTTAAGAAGATCGAATTAAGGAGATCAGGAATGTAAACAGAATAATTGTGACAAAAACAGGCATGAAGGAACAATGAAGTTTGTAAGAGACAATTGACGGAAGATGTGCAAGTGAAGTATTTAATGTATGGTCTTCATATTTGACCAAAGAATTGTAATTTTGTGTGAGACAGTAATCTTATCTTCCCCCACCTGATTTCTCATTAACTGAAAAGATGCTCCGTGTTCCATTTAGAAGGATTCATGGGGTAGAACTGGTGACGACAGACTGGAAAGAAGGATACTTCATCAAAATACCAAACAATGATCTCAGTAAGTGTAAGAACCACAGAGGCATCACCCTGCTATTGGTATCAGGGAACGTTTTCAGTGGAGTATTGCTGAATTGAATGAAAGATTCAGTAGACGCCGAACTTCAAGATTAACAGGCATGATTCTGTAAGGATAGATCGTATACCGACCGAATCGCGACACTACGGACCATTGTTGAACAATTAATAGAATGGAACTCATCACTATACATCAACTTCCTTGATTATTTGAAAGCGTCTGACAGTGTGTAGAAGAATCTTATAGAAACTTCTTCAACACTGTAGAATGAGTAGCTGAGGGAACCGTCGATATCATCCGGAATTCATACGACGTCTACACTTCAAAGTGGCACACGGAGGGTAGCTTACGGGTACATGTGAAGACCAATATCAGACAAGGCTGCTCATCCTCTCCCTTTCTCATTTTTCTGGTGGTTGAATCGATTATGAAGACTTGCACATCTGAGGGGAAGCACGAAATACAGTTAACAGCTTGGATGCAACTAGATGACTTGGATTTCACATATGACCTAGCCCTTCTGTCCCATACGCACGAACAAATGGAATAAAGGCAGCCAGAGTAGCAGCAGGCTCTGCATTAATAGGCTTCAACATATACAAGGGTAAAAGCAAGATCCTCAAATACAACACAACGAGCACGAATCTAATCACACTTGATGGAGAAACTCTGGAACAGGTGGAAATTGTTACGTACCTGGTCAGCATCATCGATAAACAAAGAGAATCTGATGCAGAAATAAAGGCACAGATTAGCAAATTAAGGACCGCATTCCTTTAGTTGAACAACACACCGTACTCAAAACAACTGTGTGCAAGCCAACATCAAAGTCATAATGTTCAATGCGGACGTCAAGGTAGTTCTACTTTATGGAGCTGAAACTTGCACAACTACTACAACCATCATCTAAAAGGTACAAAAATTTATAAACAATTCTCCACATAAGATACTCAGTGTCCGTTGACCGGATGTCATCGGCAACAACCTACTGTGGGAGATGACAAAACAATTTCCATTTGAAGAAAAGAGAAAAGAAGTTGGAAGGGGATAGGACATACATTGTGAAAATTACCAGACTGCATGACGAGGCAAGCGCCAACTTGGAGTCCTGAAAGTGAAAGAGAAATACCAGAGAAGACATTCCATCGGAGATTGGAAAAAGACATAAAAGAATGAATAACAACTATGAAGGATTGCTCAGGACAAAGTTGGGTGGTAAATGCCGGTGAGCTGTCTATACTCCACCACGAGAGTAACAGGTATAGGTAAATAAGTAATTCAGTAAGATGTCCTGTGAGAAGTAGTTAAGTATATAAATTCCTCAACATTATGCTTAAATTCAACCTCATTGACCTTCAATGAGACATCATAAAAACAAACAAACGGTGTGGAAAGGAATCACCCGTGTCCCTCGATTTTAGGTATATGGAATTAAATATTTTAAATAATGGCATTAGACCAAGAATTTGGCTCAGGTAATTTTGATAATTTTGTTATCATCAAAAACGCATTTCTAATGACTTTTACGAAACTGACTAATACATTTTCGTCGCACATTAAATTCACTTTCAAAATGAAGAATAAATATAATGAGCTGTTTTTTAGATTGTTTAACGAAAAGATATCTAGGTGATACTAAATATCTAACAATCTATTGTAAAACAACTCACTTCAATAGTTATATTGAGTTTAATTGAAAACTTCGTAAATTGAAAATTCAATCGAGAGTAGCAGTGCATGTTATTTTCTATGATCATCAGATTGATATTGAAAATGGCAAAATAATTCAACAAGGCTTTTCCAACTACGAAAAAGGGCGACCATCTGAAACTTTCCATATATTGCTAAATCCTACTGCCTTCAGTAGAAAAGATCTTACCATCCATTTAACTTGGACCATTAATTCAAGTTACGATATCTAATTTTATTCACATCTCAAACCACTATCACATATACAAATTCAACTCTACCTTCTTAAATCACAAATATCACACTCTTCATACACATTAACCTGCGTGCAAATAAGCAAACATGTCTCACAAAAATAGCCTTATCCGGACTAACGTGACACTTAATTATATTAAGTATTCTTGCTATGTTCTTTTATACTATTTGAATTTGTGATGATTTAGATTGTTTGTTTCTTTAGACTCTGAAGAAGTAGCTCACACTGATTTACGAAACGTCAGGAAATTTATTTTCTCCTTGGGATATTACAAATGTAACACTACTTTTTATTCGAACTACAGGAAATCTCTTTCGAAACTGTTTAACTTCGAATTCATGATTATTGTTTTCTGTAAAGTTTGTTAAAATTTGTTCATTTTAAAAATGATATTTTATCATGGACAGATAAAATTACGTTGCTCTGCAATAATTACTTTTTGTAGCTTATATAAACATTTTTTGTGAGCTACCAATATCTTCAGTATCCTGCAAGGTTTCTGATGAACAGTGAAATTATGGACATCATGTTCGAATATTTGAAGAAGCGTATAAAAAACTAATATTCTACCTTTCAATTTTGATTATATTCATTTATGCAAAATGGCTGCTCAGTGTATTTACTTTGTTTAAATATTATAAGAGATATCATTCTCAAAATGCAGTTGGTTCTCGCGAGAATTGTACTTTTTGGAAACATTATTTGTAAAGATTCTTTGTTATTTTTTTAAATAATTAATTTATAGATTTAATTCAATGTGAATACTGTCTAAGAAGATTCAACGAGAAAGCTGCTGAACGTCATATCAAGTTTTGTCGTGAAAAACACTCACGTTTACCAACTAACAATGCATCATCTAACACAACCGGTATCGGTCGTCTACGTGCTACCACACGTACAACGGTAGGCTCGATTAAATGTTTGTATTTACGAAAGAATAAAGCCAATTTTACCACTTTGACTGAGAATATTTATTCTGATAATTATTACCATTAAAAGCGAAACGTTTAATATCGAGTTTCAGTAGGTGATATTATTTTAAAACAACGAACATTTGCTTACAGCCTCATATTACATTATGTAATAACTAAGCTATAATAGCACAAATCACTTGATTATAATCCAGTAATCAAGCACCAATGTGTTCAGCGCAAAATTCGAATGCTTCAAATCAAATTTCCTAGGATGTATAGAATTTTGATTAATTATGATCATTAGCTGTTCATTATGACTTGAAATTCATTCGTAATTTATTTAGAACAAATGTTTCCTGCTACTATTGAAATCCGAACGAAATTCATATGAATGTCACTTTAGCTCATCATGAAAATTGTAAATAAATGCTGATTATGAAACTAATGTCACCAATAACAATAAATAGTTGTCCCTCAATATCTCATACTGATTGGAGTCGGACATGTCAGATTTAGTGGCCTGAAGGTTAAGAGCTAGCCTTTAGACACGAAAGTCCCGTGTTTGATCTCCAGTGGAGATGTAGACGTACAGAGAAACAAAGTGATACTGAACTGAAAAATTCTGGCCATAAGTTATCGTATGCAACAAACAGTCACTGCCCATGTAGTATTAAGCATTAGAAATTCATTTATAATTCAGTGTCCATTGGTTGATTTCATAGAAATGTTTCTGCTAATGTTATGAAGCCGAATATTTAGGAGTATTTTAAACTACTTATTAGTAGTATAAATAATCTGGACAATAATCGTAACTAAATATTGCATTTCCACTCGAAAATTGTGAGCATTTCACTTCACTAGGATGACTGGTGATAGCTAATATCAAAAATGGATACTTTTGGTGTATAGTGATGAAACTGATTGATAAAATTTAGTGAGTACTCCAACCCATATTTTCGAACAGTCTCATATATACATTATGGTTAGCAGTGGAATCCAGAACATGCATTGCATTATTTTTGGAAGTGGTTTTTTGTATGTAAGTTGTGGCTTGAATAAATGTTTGACTCTCTCAATCGAAATATTGCGCCAATCATTCAAATTACTCTTAAGTATTTTAGAGTGATAGTGAAGTTTCACAGCTAGAGAGGGTGCATTTAAAGATGATTGATTTCTCGAGTTGAATTTTTCTAAGAAACATTTACCTGCTAAATACTTCTTCAAAGTAGACATACCAGTTCACTGAAGAATAGCAGCACAAGTTTTACAATCTTTTTTTTCCATTTGCTTTTGAAAACGAACGCATAATATTGTTGAAAATCATTATTTCCCAGAGTTTATCTTGTGTTTTAGTAAAGTAGTTATTTTTTTAATAAATTTAATACTGTGAGGAAATCTATTCTAAGAATTCTATTTCATTAATAATCGACTAATCGTTACTAGCAACTTACGTGAATTGATTGGAACTTTAGAGACGTTCGTATGATCTTTAATTACTTATAAAATAATTTCCTGTTTTGTCCGAAGGCGAAATGTCATTTTAGTAGTAGTAGTAATATGACCCTAAATTTAACCCACATTTATTTAAGTGCTTAATCTCTCTTTCTATTTGACATTTATCTGTTTACTGATTGACTTATATTATGTTTAGGCTCCAGCTAATATTGATCCTACAATACGAAAAAACAGAAAAGGCTCAAGTACTTCTTATACACAAAATAATTATGGATTACATACTAACGATGAGAATCATAGTCGAACGTTACATAATACAAATTCAACACGAAATACAAAACATGGAATACCACAACTAGTCAAACCAACACGTAATCGATGTGATATTTTTTTTACTTAACGGGTTATTTTCTTGTCTATTTTCTACTTTAAACTAAAATGTTGCTCAGAGAGTGAAATGCTTAAAATAAAAATATAAGTAATCATTCTATATTTTTTTAAACTAGAGATTACTTTATCATATTTCAAACTGAAAACAAACACAAAGCATCCAATTATCGGGCACAAAATGTTCAATCTGACACTTATAGAGTTTATCAATAATCTTGTCGAAAATTAATGACTTAGGGTCAAGCAGAGAACGATATTATTCTGGTGTATGTGTTGGTGGTAAACGATGATATATTATACTGATCACTAAGATCAATTGGATATTACCTAAAATACTAACGGATTTCTTCCAATATTTAAATGATATAAAAGTGGTTATTTGTTTCACCTAAGTTATCAACTGTAACTTTTAAGAAGATTTTTTTTAACTGATTTATTAAGAATGTTGTCTGTAAATTAATGAAAAACTATTAAATTAATAACTTTGAACTGTAATTTTCTGTTTAAGATCGAAAGTTGATCTTCCATTTTATTGAATTCAACAAACGATGTATCTTTTTTAAAATAATAATTCCTGTGTGTTTAATTTTGTAATAGTCAATAACCAATCAGGTACAGTGATAAATGAACCAAAAAAGTTCATATTATCGTTTATTATTTAATCTAATAATATATATGGATAAAAATCAATTACTTTGCTTATAAGTCAAGATTTTACCATTTTTCACTGATATACAAATTATTTGGTATTGAAACCAAGTCAGATTTCATTCGTATCATAATAACAAAGTTTACGTTCATTCATTAGCAAAACGGCCATGTTTACTTTTAACTTTTAGAAAATCCTTCAATCACCGGTGTTCGAAATTCTAGTGAATTACGTAAAAATCAGGATGAAATGGTATGCACTCTTTTTATTTATAACAGAACACTCAAATATTCATATTTATATAACATAGAATTTTAATTTAAGGCGAATAACATTAAAATAACTGTGATGTAAATTTAATATTCACATTCACCCCCCTTTAATTTGTGCATTGATTACCTTTTTAATGAGTTCTAGTAATCAATCGTAGTTACAGCCTGAGATAATTTACTTCTCAGCGTACCATATCTTTAGCTATTTAAATGAAAAAAGCATGCCTCCAGACATATTAAGCACATATTTTAGTTACACTTAAATTGATCAATATGTTTTTTTAATATTTACGGGCATACCCTCAAGATTTGTTGCTACGGCCAAGAAAAAAAACCCACGGTCGTCTTGATGTCAGCCAACAAAGCTTATGTGTATACCTTTTCATTCAACTAATGAAAACTGTCTGATGAGATAGGCAGTTAAAATCTGCAAAATTTCTCACTTCACATGATTTTCACACACATATGAGTAACATTCCAACATAACACACTTTTATGGATTAATGGCTAAAAGTCATTTAATCTTGCACAAACTTTTCTTAATGTAACATTTTGGTTGATGTGACTTGAGTCAAGTAGAATCACAGTAAACACCAAAATCTGGAATTTAATATTTGTGATCATTCTAGATAAGAAAATCTTATAAAAGAAAGTGGTCATTAGAGAATATTCATTGCAGTGAAAACTGATTTATAACTGACGGATATGATAATTGTGCAATGGAATACTGTCTTATTGATTAAGGACCTTAATAAAATATTTTGAATTTTAAAGAATAAGATGTTTGTATTTATTTCTCTTATCTTTTAGATAAAATCACATATCTCATCAAATAACCCAAAAGAAGAGACACTACATAGCAATAATAAACGAGGCTTGCCGTCAAGTCAAATGCGGTATGTGTTATTGGATTAAAGTATTTTAATGATAATAACAAAGATTTTGAAAATTCAATAACAACTGGTACAATAGAATTTAGTTGGATTATGAACTCACCACATGTTTATATAAAAGATATCTATAGCCATAATGAAAATTCTACAACTGAAATTAAACAATAAAGACATTTTGCAGATAACTAAGGATTTCTAGATTTAGGCATAACTTGATGGAAACTGGAACCTTTCGGCTCAAAATACAGCCTCAACAATTACTGTCATACTAAATCATCCATTGAAACTTTCAAGATTAATACACCGAAAAGTTCAATATTAAAGTAAAATAAAGACAATTTTATCAAAGATACATTATCTAGTGAAGTAAATTGAAATTTACAAAATTTGTTCTATTACTCGAAATTTCCTCATTTTATGAATCGTTAAGCCTAATACACTCATGTATAATAAACTTATTTATTATTTCATTTTAGACAACCAACACATACAAGCAAAACAACTAGTTATGCACAAAACAGCTCGAAAGGAGTAACAAATGATAAATCAAATAAAGTTTGTTCTGAATGTGGTTATAAATTTCCAACTTCAGCTGTAAGATTTTGTCCTGAATGTGGTGTACGACGTATGGTAGTTTAATTGTCAAGTACATACATACATTTCCTTTTGAAACTATTATATTGTATTGTAAGAATAATATTCCTCATTAATAATACCAATAAAAACTGACAATTTCTGTTAATGCAGGTAATTAGACTTGAACTTTTATTTTTCTCTCAATGTATGTCATATAAATTTTATGTAGATCATGTGTTTCAAAGAGATTTTACTATTCAGTACACGTAAAATATCGCTCAAAACAAATAAATTGATGTAATTTTATTATAGATCTTTAAAATATTTCATATTGATGAATGTCGTCTCCTTCACAGTGTTGTCATTCATGTCACCATATATAATAAATTTAAAACATTTGCACATAACCATGTATGCAATACATATCATTAGACTACTGATAAAGAATTCTTAAATTTCATTCAGTGTTATACTACTGTAGATGTGTATTATAAGTAGTTTTGTGTACTCAATGTTTATCCGTTAGATTTTATTCATATTTATCATTCACAATATTCATATTCCTTCTTTTTGTTTCTATAAAGATTCATTTTCTACGAAAATCATATTTCATTTCCTTTAACATTATAACACTATTAATGCATAAACAATAGTTTTTAAAAAATATACGTATAATCTGTGATTTTTATCCATGGGTTCTTTTGAGAAATTAAAATATACAATGTAAACTCCAATGTTTTTACAAATTGTTTCCAATATCACAATCATAAATATCATCTGTTCACAATTATTTTATTGATAATTAAAATTAAACGAGCTTCAATAACTATCTTCTTTTGGTTTAAGCACCCAGGTAGTATCATAACGCACACACACACACATACAAATCAAGTGACTTGTGTGGTGCATATGTATTCGGTACCTCTTTGTATCAATATTAATGTGTTAAAATAAATAAATCTATCACCCCAATCATATTCTATCATGATGAGTTAATCTATCGTCACTAAATAAAATTTAGTAGTCGGTAATCACAAACTGACTTACATTGAAACTGTACCAACTGACTTTAACACAGTGGTTCCAATGGTCAACCTAAAAAATGGAGTTTCATCACTGGTAGGGTCAAAGATGCACACTGCTAAAGAGTCTTATATTTGGATAAAACAGCTGTCTAGTACTTCTTGGTTTTCAGTGTCACTTTAACTGTGACAAACACAACCTAATTTGTTTCTTGAAACTTTGTCCAAATTAATTCCTAAAACCACCAATTAATAACATGTAGCTATTTAATGACTTGATTTTTTTTGTCAAAGTGAAACTTAATTGCTACTTTTAGAATATATTATATGGATTGACAATGTCCATATAATACTATATGTAAACATCGAACAAAACTCGATATGTATAGAATTGTATATTCATAAAATACTACTTATTTACAATAAATTTACTAATATATTACATAAATCTTATTGTCATTAAAATTACTTACGAAAACTCATGATTTTGTATTATATGAACTAAAACCAAATGAGCAAAGCTTTATAAAATCTAAAAACCTTGTATTTCTAATAGTATCTGAAAAGTATTTATAGATTTACGTAACATCTAGGAACAGATCAGCATTTCGAATTAATTATTTCTTTGTCAAATAAAAATGAATAAAAAAAAATTTAATTTTTCATTCCCTTTCTAATTTGCTTCAAATCTAGTGAATTGTAGTGGCCGGAGAGTACTAGACTGGAGAGAACGTTTCAATAAAAAAAATTATTTACCTTGATAAGCCAGCCACTGGTGCACATCTATGTAAATGACGTGGTACCTCCTTTAGTTTAATATGCAATTTTTATATTCATCTCATGTGAAGTTAGGTACATAAGTTGTCCATCATGGGACATCCTCGAAACACAAGAAATCACCTGCCCGATGGGAAAGTATAAAATCGTTTATATTGAAGCATACAGCTGACCATGATTATCCAGTACCAGATACTGAGTTTGAGATTATCCATAAACCCAAAAATCTATCTAGAGGCGTACATATACACACCCCTTTTGTACAGTAGAGGCGTTGTTGAAGCAAGACATCGAGCTAGATCTACGCGTCCAAATATAGTTTGTAAGATCGTATTCTATGCTATGACCTTGTTTTGCTCTACATTTTCCCAAGATATTATTTCACAACTTTTTGTTCGTAATTTACAAGCCCTTCCAATTTTGAGTTATATGCTATCTTATCCCTAATTTTTTTGTAAATTCGAACACATCAGATTAAGATTCAGTCAATTATTATTTTAATCAAAACAATCATCCGTATCAATTTTTATTCCCATTTATAATGGCCCTTATTTACTAACCTGTAAATCACACCAAACTTGAAATGGTAAAAACTATGTCAATATGTCTGACGTAAATTCAACCTATACAGAAGAGGTCAACTAACGAGGTCAGAGGTTAACCGAATAAGCCAAATAACATGAGTGCAAAAACAAACGAGGACAGCAAAACCCACGAAGACAACCAATTACGCACAAGTTCACCAGAAGAGACTGATTTAGCAGTTGTGAAATAGCTAGCCTCCACATGAAGTAGGTGCTAATGATATTATTCACAAAGGCAATCAAGGCTTAACAAATAAGCTATAGGACTCAAACAAACACATCACTCATCGAAACTTATCTCTGGCCGTTTATCTCACACATGTCCTATAATTTCTAACCAGCCTGATAAACTAACTATTTATTGATAAGATATTTTTATCTAGTATTACGAACTGTATTACATGATTTCCACTCATTTTATTTACACATAGTTAAATACAAAACCTGTTCGGGACTTTTCTTATCTCACTGAAATACGATAGTACAGCTTTTGAAGACAAAGTCATCGAAAATGAAATGGTCTTCTCTGAATAAGACAAATACCAAATAGTACGCACATTCGTTGTATGAAGTATACAAAATGGACACTAATCCACTGAACTGATATGAATGAAAATAATAAAATTCTATTATAAAAAATACATATATTTATACCAACAATGCATGTAACGCTTACAATACTACTACCTAGTGTTTTGGATTAGAAATAATGAATGAAAGAAATTTACACAAACAATGAAGAAGACATCACAGTAAAAATATTAATATGTGAATACAGAGTAAGCAAAGATAAAGTTTAATGAAAACAGACCAAGATTAAATGGGACTGCAATATTCAATCAACATTAAACATCTCATCTTCAGCTGGTTTTATCTCATTTGTTTGGAATTACACGTGATATTACAACTCCGGTCTTGGTGTTCCTGTTAAGTAAGAATGAGGAAAACAATGATAAATTATTTTTGCATAATAATATAACTGTTAATTATTTCTTGTCAGAATATCGCACACTAAAAAAGCTGAAAAACATCGTAATGTTTCATATTTTACCTAGAAAGACCCTCTTAGTTATTTGCCATTATAAGTGACACATAAGGAATCGAAGTATACAGTTCAACTACGAATAAACTAAGATCAGATTATGATCAACAGTAGGAACCGAATACAAACAATTCTAACAACTCAAAAAGTGATCCAATACAAAGAATTTTCATCATACAACTTAAGGTAACAAAACGGAAAAATCCACAGTAATGCCTTACATATCTCTGTACTATGGCCTGGAATTACTACAATTCGTAAACAAACTACATAATATTGTGTAAAGGTTACAGCCACTGGAAACCTGGACGCACTGGGCGCATCCAATGGAGTCTCATTCGAAGACGAAACAGACGTCATGTTTCCAATCGTGGTCTAACACAAATCGGCTCATGATTTCAATGAAATATATTTTTATTGTGAATATAAACATTTAAACATACGCGTAGTATCTTCTGTTGCTTTTGTTGTAGGCTCTTCATCTGTTTTAACAGTTCCAGAAATAGTTTTGTCATCATCATTGGTACTAGTTGGGATTTGACCTTTATCTGGTTGGACAAAACAATGCAAAATAACAATAAAAGTTGATTTCCAATTAAATACACCCAGAAAAACAGATAAGATAAACAGTAGTCTTTGTAGAAAAGGAAAATAATGAAATATTTCTAGTATAGGTGTGTTAGAGAGTACGGAATTTTCGTTATTTGAAAAATGAATTGATCTTAAATGGAACATCAGTGAAAACTGGGAAGCACCGATACAACTGTTTCGTCTTATTACGGAACTACACAACAGTGCAAATTAACAACCGCAAAGGGAATCACACGCAGAACCGTCGTTCTGCGTGTGATAGCTTGAACTTTACTACCTGGTATCCGGTGGTGTGCACGTCTAACTTCAGTCAATCCCAGCTAGTATCAGTTCGTGACTTTGAGAATTCTGCAATCTCCAGAAACACTCATATACTAACAATAATCATGTGTTCTCTAGTGACCAGTTTTAAGATGCGATTCCTGAAGTTTTAGTGAGATGCCGTGACCAGTGGATCTCAACTATATCGGATGTGAGGCAGTTATCCACTGTAAATGATGAAAGACAGCCGCACAGTATCGCCAATTGATTGAAGTTAGATATATTAACAAACAGATACCGGTTCACTTTGGGAATGACACCAAAGATCCAAGGTCAGATCCTCTCTGTAGTCGTGAATAGCAACTGCAGAAGGACTTCATACTAAAACAAACCAACTATCCAGTGTTTCTTGGTTTTCAGCGGTGGTCTAGCTAGGATCAGTTTGTAATTTAAGCTATCAAGAGAAAATATTTGTTGTCGAGAAAGACGTTACATAAAAGCCACTTCATATTTATATCCTCAAAACGGTAGATTTAACAGAACTATGGTCGACACTTCTAAAATTACGTCACAAATTTGATAATCTAATCTTTATTCCGTTTTAGGTACCCACACAGCACATCTCATCTTTTGTTTAATGTTTACTGTATAAACAAGAGCATGAATAAATCGTTGCAAAATAAAAACTATAAAATGTATGACCAGAAACAAACTTTGTCCACAAAAACAACCACAAACCTTTTAGTGGATCTGCAGTATTCATTTTGCTTTGCTCAGCAAACATACGAGCAATTTCTGATCTCCATAAGTTCATTTTAGTGGTATGATAGCTGATTTCTCGGGACAATTCACTTTCTTTACTTCGAATAGTAGAAACCAAAATCGGAGGATCTTCGTATGTTGGAGATTTGTTTAAAACTTCAGTAGATTCAGCTAACCAAGTCTGAAAGTAATTTGTATGTATACATACATATAATGTATGAAGTATACGATATGGTAAAGAATAACTGAAACTAGTTCATACTTTACCTCACTACCTTTTTGTCAACAAAAAAAAAAGATAACTTTTATTGTATCAAGCAAGCAGTTACAAGTGCCATTTACATTCAATCAATGATTATATACAACCTAATATTGATATAATCACCCTAGCTGATTTCACAGGATGACCATCGATGAAATACGTATTCTGACTAACTTCGGATATACTCTTGTTCTCCCAAATTCTAATCTCCAGAATCCTCCTTGTCTCTCTTTTCCTCTTTCCAAATTTATTTCACTGGATTATACTCTTTAAATAACATCTTCAAAGCCTAATCTTTCCGATTATTGCTTATACTCTTACCGCCTCTATAACTACGGGATTCAAATCGACAACTGCATCTCTGTGCTAACGTGGTGTGGCAACTCGAACCGATGTACGTACGTACGAAGTTCTACGTTGTTACTGACTGACTGACGTGCGACCTGTTACATTGTTACAAAGTAGAAATAAAAATATATATATTATTAACTCTCTACCCAATACTCAATTCATTTGAAACTATCAAGTTCAACCTTGGTATGGATATCTATAGAAATAAAAAGTTGGAAACGAATAGTTTCGCGAATATGTATACTTCATGCATGTGATTTATGG